CGATTTGGCGTACTTCTTAAAGTCCCTAATGTAGCTGAAGTGGTCCTCGTATAGGTTCAGGTACATTGTGTTCTTGTAGCGGGTGAGAGGTCGCCTGACCAGTTCCGCAAAAGGTGTGTCGTTTTTCTCGTCTTCTTCGTCATTGGGTCGAAGCGAGTAGACGTAGACGTTGACTTGAAAGAGTTTCTCTATGTCGGCCAAGTCTTCTAGTGATACCCCGCAGAAATCTTTCTCGGCCATGTCCCGGGCTTCCATGTACTGTTTCAAGAGAATCTTGGTTGGCCTCTCTAGTTGCTTCGGATTCTTACCGTTGTGTGCTGCAAGACAGCGGAAGAAGCACAGGTCGTCGTCAAAGGGTCCGTTCGTGCCGCTTTGAAGGGTAACGATGGCTTTGTTATTGACGAGGTACGCGGGGAGGTTCATGGGCGCACCGATGGGATGGTTTCCCAGTTTGCTGACATAAAACTCTACATGTGGAATGTCGTGCACGATCCATTTGGAGTCTGGACGATGCTGTCGGCAATCCTCGAGGACGTCCTTGTCGGCTATTTGGTCCAGGAATTTTTGCAGGTTTTCCTCGTCGTCGACTATCACCGGTTTCTCCAGGAAGGTGTGATTGTTCTCGCAGGGGTAGTAATAACGCAGTTCACCTTCGTTGTTACGGAGGACAAATCCGTACGACAGGTTGATTTTGAATGCCGTCTTTTGGTCTCGAAAGATCGCCCACACTTTGTCTGTCATGTCGTCCACGTTGATGGAGTTCAATCGAAAATTATATCTGGCATAGACCGCTTTTCTTTCGAAGTGTGTACGGATTTTTGACCATTTCTGCCTGTATATCTGTTCCACTGCTGGATCTAAACCCAAGTCCTGTGGTTTGTCAAGGGGGTCTTCCTGCACGGGAAACGATTCGTTTGTTGGCAAGGGCTGCACGTTTCTGGGTCGTTTTGATGAGACCTCGTCGGCGTTAGCCGAAAGTCTTCTTTTGTGTCCTCGGGAGGTGGACGGTGCGTTTTCGGGGCACATCTCGTTATCGTGCTGCTGCAGTTCTCCAAACGTGTTAAACGTGTTGGATATCAGATTCGTCGGATGTTTCCCGTGTATTCGCTTGTGTTCTCGCAACTTGTCCGCCCTGGCAAACTTTCTCTTGCAAAAATCGCATTCATGCTGGGGTGCGGTAGATGCATGCTTCTGCTGTTGGTGTCGTTTCAAGTCGGGGAGACGGGTGAAGTTTTGGTCACAAGTCTCGCAGAGGTGGGAGGGTGACGCGGTATGTGCCACTTTCTTGTGTCGGTTAAAAGACTGCCTATGTTTGAACTCTTTCCTACACTGGTCGCATTTGAACACCATGGCTGTACTGACTGGATTGGATGGGTCTGACTCTGAAACGCAAAAAAAATGACCTTTAACAACTTTGTGACGCGACATGCTGGTTATACATGTATATATATATGGTGGATTTCGTATGAATAATTGCATACCACAAAATATTATATTATATACTAAAACGGTATTTTTGGTACAATTACCTCTCCGAGGCCCTACTATCCCTATTTAGTCCATTTAGTTTAAAATTCCTCAATCGGCAAACAAAATGCTTTCACCGCAGCCTAGTAACACTTCTTGGCTTCTGTATTACAAGGTGGACAACGAGGGTCAAACTATAGACGACAATGAAGTATACTGCTACAGTGACGTAATCATGGGGCAGGGTAAGGACTGGAAAGACTTACCTATGTGGAGCCGCCTTGATTCTCCCGGGCCGGATGCAGAGCTTGTCTTGATTCTTCCAGACGTGACGTGCTGCTGTGACCAAAGGCACACAATTACTTTCGTTGTCGTCAACACAACATTCTGTTTTATTAGTGGTTTTCTTTCATATATTTTATTTGTAAAGCAGACACTTCTATACAGTTCCAGCAACAATTATTCCACCATTAGAATGCAAAATACCAAACAAAATATTTGACATCAAATTTTGTAATAAAAGCGACAGAGTTTTTCTTACTGAATGGATCGACATGGCCTATGTAGCCAGTTTCACACATAACCTCGAGATCATCAACATAATCTATGCGTGCCAATGACGTCACCAGTCCAAGATATCTAGACTTCTAACTTATTCCGCTTGGTGGCGCTTATGCAATCACAAGTTGGGACTGCAGACATTGTGTGTCTATTGCTCGGTTGGGCCTGATGAAGAATAAAAAGGGCCAATTCTCTAAGCAAAAAATACAATAACCAGCGGAGCCGCCCGGATTGTTCAAACCCTGGGACTTACATATTAATACTAAATTGTTCAAATCGCAGAACTATCCCTTCATCTCTACAATATACATGTACCTTCCTAAATCATAATATATCCGCGTTTAGGGGATAATTGCATTTTCAAACAACTTACTTATTTTAACTATAACAATACAAAAAAAATATGCTTATTATTTCATGATTATATGACAGTGGTCACCATGCCGAGAATGGGCAAAGATGTATGTTGCCATGCCGGAAGGTGAATGGCAGATAACTATGAAGAGAGGAGACAAGAAATGGCTCTGATTTAATGTTTTGTTTCTTACTGTGATGCAGTAATACACGTTTTGTACGTGATGCTGGCTGTGTATATGTGATATGTTCCCACTGAATCAAAACCATTTGTACTATGATTGAGTCAAAATTTTAAAGCGTAGAAACCTTGTTTTTTTTTCGCCCGCTTGCATTAGATTTGGAGTCTGTGGATGATGTAATCCATAAAATGTACTTGCTGTGGCCTTAATGTACTTGCTGTGCCGACTGACATATTACCACTTGGCGACACCAGCCAGGAAATGACGGTTCCTCGGGCATTATTCTCTCGTGATCCCCAGCTGATGGTTGCATAAATTAATTGAATTTTCTATCCTGTATTCTACTATCCCTATTTAGTCCATTTAGTTTAAAATTCCTCAATCGGCAGACATCTCACTTAACAAAATGCTTTCACCGCAGCCTAGTATTAGTAACAATTCTTGGCTTCTGTATTACAAGGTGGACAACGAGCGTCAAACTATAGACGACAATGAAGTATACTGCTTCGGTGACGTAAGCATAGGGCAGGGTAAGAGCTGGAAAGACCTACCTATGTGGAGCTGTGTTGATTCTTCCGGATGCAGAGCTGTCTTGATTCTTACGTGCTGCTGTTATTGAAGTGAAAAACACACAAATACTTTCGTTGCCGTAGGATGTCAATATCCTCACACAACATTCTACTTCATCAGTGGTTTTCTTTCATGCATCTATTTCATTTGTAATTCAGACGCTTCTATACAGTTCCAGCAACAATTATTCCGCCATTAGACTACAACATACCAAAAGAAATATTTGACATCAAATTTTGTGATTAAAGCGACAGAGTTTTTCTTACTGAATGGATCGACATGGCCTATGTAGTCGGTTTCACACATAACCTCGAGATAATCAACATAATCTATGCGTGCCAGTTCAAGCTATCTGGACTTCCAACTTATTCCGCTTGGTGGCGACGCTATAAGCGGAGCCGCCCGGATTTTACGACCTCTGCGACTTCCATATCACTACTTGGCGACCAGCTTTCCCATTGGCCATGAGTCTAGCTTTCGTAGCTTCCCATTGGCCTACAGTACAGGTAGCGTCACACGTCCAACCAATCAGGGCGCAGCAGGCCAAGCTTTAATTTTCCTGCCTGCCCGCCATTACACCGGTCTTCGCATACCGAGCATGTTTTTGGAGGTTTTTGCTCGATGATCGTCAAAAAGCAGCAAACTGCAGACCGAATCTCAGTTGGGAGGAGGTAAGGAACAGTTAGTGTTAATTTGGACGGCATGTCAGTCGGAAAAATGTCCAAAAATGGACGAGAAACTCTGCCGGCGTACGCAAGCACTCATATAAACATGGGGAGGGGGGCTGGCCTCGTC